TTTACAAGCAGCGATATGGCCGCCTTGATAACCGTCCTGGCTTTGCATTTTTCTTGATCAGGCTCTCACTGGGTAATGAGGTCTCGCGATGAGGGCGCCTTCTTGGGTGTCAGATCACACAGCTGGGCCAGCGACTTGGCCGGACGCATCCCATTAATGCTGCCATTGATGGCTCCATTGGCGTACGATCTCCGGTTCGTTGCTGTTGATATAAGAATGAAAATTCAATGAGAATCAAACTTCTTTAAGTAGGTTATCTAACACTTGCCCATTTCTATCCAACTCCTGGGTCGACTGGGCATTGCGCAGTTTTCCGGGGTCCATAACAGTGCTCTACCTCAGAGTCCTCATCGTCATCGTCGTCCGCATCGGCCTCGTCGTCTGTGCTGAGTTGGCTGGAGAGGAAAAACGTAAGATGATAAGAGTACGATTCTTGAAAGTCTTGTCTTGTACTCACAGCTTGTCCAGCGAAGCCTTCAGTGTTGTCTGCTGTGCTGTTCTGACTTCCATTCTGATTGGTCCCGGAGCTGGTGATGTTGCCCAATGGCGAGGCGGCGGCAGGAGAATATTGGGTGTCACAAGCTTGCCATGGAAGGCAATAACCCGATGCATCATGCCCTTGCTAGAGGCACCACCTAAGGCAAACTAACGCTTCTGGGGCAGGCCACCGAAATGGTCCTGGTAACTAAGCTTCTGCTGCGGTGGCTCCGGTGTCATGTTGTAGCAGTTGTGTTGCTCTGCGAGGAGGCCGAGATGGCAGTCATCCGAATGCTGGTCATCGAGGCTCTCCTGCTTGGCGCTGTTCACGCTAGAGGCCAGCGAGGGTGTGTTGGATAGCTCATCAATGGGCAGCAGGAGAGTAGTGGTCTGCACTGCCGCCGGCCGGGCTGTGACTAGCACGCCCTGAACATGATCCAGCTTATCCCGATCCTGTAGCTGCTTTGAGTGCATTCACCATAGCCCAAAACAAAGCAGTGCTCCACTTCAGAGTCCTCATCGTCATCGTCACAAGCTTGCCATGGAAGGCAATAACCCGCTGCATCATGCCCTTGCTAGAGGCACCACCTAAGGCAAACTAACGCTTCTGGGGCAGGCCACCGAAATGGTCCTGGTAACTAAGCTTCTGCTGCGGTGGCTCCGGTGTCATGTTGTAGCAGTTGTGTTGCTCTGCGAGGAGGCCGAGATGGCAGTCATCCGAATGCTGGTCATCGAGGCTCTCCTGCTTGGCGCTGTTCACGCTAGAAGCCAGCGATGGTGTGTTGGATAGCTCATCAATGGGCAGCAGGAGAGTAGTGGTCTGCACTGCCGCCGGCCGGGCTGTGACTAGCACGCCCTGGACGTGATCCAGCTTATCCCGATCCTGTAGCTGCTTTTGAGTGCATTCACCATAGACCAAAACAAAGCAGTGCTCCACCTCAGAGTCCTCATCGTCATCGTCGTCCGCATCGGCCTCGTCTGTGCTGAGTTGGCTGGAAACGTAAAAAACGTAAGATGATAAGAGGACGATTCTTGAAAGCCTTGTCTTGTACTCACAGCTTGTCCAGCGAAGCCTTCAGTGTGTTCTGCCTGCCCGTCTCGCGCGACTTGAGGTCCTGAAACTCCCGCTGGATCTTCCGCTAGATGAGCACATAGCCTCGACGCAAAGGCCTGCCCTCCGAGTCCCGCAGGGGAATATTGGGTGTCACCAGCTTGCCATGGGAGGCTATAAGCCGCTGAATCACGCCCTTGGTAGGGCAGGCCGCTCAGCTGCGGCATGGAAATGGTTCTGATCTGCAGCGGCGGCTCCGGTGTCATGTTGGAGCAGTTGGGTCCAATGTAACGCTGTTCCTTGCGGGTGACCACGGTCAGCTTGAGCGGCTGCTGCTGCTTGGCTTGGAGGTTGTTGTTGCTCTGGGAGGAAGCCGAGATGCCAGAGTCATCCGAATGCGAATCATCGAGGAACTTCACCTTAGCGCTGTTCACGCTAGAGGCCATCGAGGGTGTATTGGAGAGCTCATCAATGGGCAGCAGGAGAGTAGTGGTCTGCACTGCCGCCGGCCGGGCTGTGACTAGCACGCCCTGGACATGATCCAGCTTATCCTAAACCTGTGTCTGCTTCTGAGTCCATTGACCATAACCTAAAACGTTGGATGTCAAAGCTGCACATGGTTCCACGCCAGAAATCGATGGTCAAAGCTGCGTATGGTTATTCAGCAATCGATAGTCAATGCTGCACATCGTCACTGATCGTCGCTGTTGCACATGGCTGCAGGCAACCAGCTAAAAGTCAAAGCGGTCACACTTCGATGTAAAAGTAGCGAAACATGAGTTGGCCACACCTGAAAAATCTTGTAATAATGGATATGGTCTCACCTTCTTTACAAGCAGCGATATGGCCGCCTTGATAACCGTCCTGGCTTTGCATTTTTCTTGATCAGGCTCTCACTGGGTAATGAGGTCTCGCGATGAGGGCGCCTCCTTGGGTGACAGATCACACAGCTGGGCCAGCGACTTGGCCGGACGCATCCCATTAATGCTGCCATTGATGGCTCCATTGGCGTACGATCTCCGGTTCGTTGCTGTTGATATAAGAATGAAAATTCAATGAGAATCAAACTTCTTTAAGTAGGTTATCTAACACTTGCCCATTTCTATCCAACTCCTGGGTCGACTGGGCATTGCGCAGTTTTCCGGATCCATAGCAGTGCTCCACCTCAGAGTGCTGAGTTGGCTGGAGAGGAAAAATTTAAGATGATAAGAGTACGATTCTTAAAAGCCTTGTCCTGTACTCGCAGCTTGTCCAGCGATGCCTTCAGTGTTGTCTGCCTGTTAATCCTGCGCAGGGGCTTCAGGTCATCTCGCGCGACTTGAGGTCCTGTAGCTCCCGCTGGATCTTCTGCTCGACGGGCACATAGCCTCGACGCAACGGCCTGCCCTCCGAGTCCCGCTCGATGGCTGCCGGTGATAGGGTGACCGTGGTAATGCCCGTTGGCGAGTTGCCGTTCTCCAGGAAGGCCAACGCCGTGCGTGTGTTCAGCTTTAGGGTGTTGCTGTTGTTGTTGTTGCTCTGACTTCCATTTTGATTGGTTCTGGAGCTGGTGATGTTGCCTAATGGAGAGGCGGGCGGCATGGAACTGATGGAAGGACCAACTTGCCATGGGAGGCTATAAACCGCTGCATCACGACCTTGGTAGTCACAACCTAAGGCAAACTGACGCTTCTGGGGCAGGCCGCCGAAATGGTCCTGGTGATGAGCTTCTGCTGCGGCGGCTCCGGTGTCATGTTGTAGCAGTTGGGTCCAATGTAACGCTGCTCCTGGCGGGTGACCACGGTCAGCTTGAGCGGCTGCTGCTGCAGCTTGGCCTGGAGGTTGTTGTTGCTCTGCGAGGAGGCCGAGATGCCAGAGTCATCCGAATGCTGGCTATTTAGGCTCTCCTCTCCTCCTTGGCGCTAGAGGCCAGCAAGGGGTGTGTTGGATAGCTCATCAATGGGCAGCAGGAGCGAAGTGGTCTGCACTGCCGCCGGCCGGACATGATCCAGCTTATCCCGATTCTGTAGCTGCTCCTGAGTGCATTTACCATAACCCAAAACAAAGCAGTGCTCCACCTCAGAGTCCTCATCGTCATCGTCGTCCGCATCGGCCTCGTCTGTGCTGAGCTGGCTGGAAACGTAAAAAACGTAAGATGATAAGAAGACGATTCTTGAAAGTCTTGTCCTGTACTCAGTTTATCCAGCGAAGTCTTCAGTGTGTTCTGCCTGACCGTCTCGCGCGACTTAAGGTCTTGCAGCTCCCGCTGGATCTTCTGCTCAACGGGCACATTGCCTCGACACAACGTCCTGCTCTCCGAGTCCCGCAGGGGAATATTGGGTGTCACCAGCTTGCCATGGGAGGCTATAAACCGTTGAATCACGCCCTTGGTAGGGCAGGCCGCTCAGCTGCGGCAAGGAATTGGTTTTACTGCGGGGGCTCTGGTGTCATGTAGAAGTCTAATGTCCAATGTAACGCTGCTCCTGGAGGGTGACCACGGTCAGCTTGAGCAGCAGCTGCTGCTTGCCTTGGAGGTTATTGTTGCTCTGCGAGGAGGAAGAGAATGTGGATCATCGAGGATCTTCATCTTGGCGCTGTTCACGCTAGAGACCATCGAGGGTGTATTGGAAAGCTCATCAACGGGCAGCAGGAGCGAAGTGGTCTGCACTGCCGCGGGCCGGGCTGTGACCAGCACGACCTGGACATGATCCAGCTTATCCTAAACCTGTGGCTGCTCCTGAGTGCATTCACCATAACCCAAAACGTAGGATGTCAAAGCTGCACGTGGTTGTCTGCCGATATTCACAGCCTTACAGGGTTGTATGCTAGCAGCCAATCGACGCTGCTCCACATGGTTGCATGCTGATAGTCGGAAATGAACTGGTCACACTGCAAAAAAGTTCCCGTAACATAGGGTTGACAAAGTAGCTATTTTCTAGCTAAATTTAAAGCTTTGCTACAATATAGCTAAAGAGACAACTCAAATTTGCAACTCTTGCACGAAAATTAATCTGCTTTCTGCAGTTTCTGTTCGCCTGGTACTCCAGATCCAGAAAATTACAATTTTGTATGACTGACCAAATTGAAAGCTTGTTTTGTCGACAGAAACAACAACAATAGGTTTTTTTACAGCAACAACAATTGTGAATTTACGACAACAAAAGAAATATTACATTTACAAATTTAACCGCCGAATTTGAATTTAAATAGACAGTCAATTGTTTTTATTAATATAAATAAGGCAAGCTATCATTGTTTTTAACGCTTTCATGGATCTTGCTCTTTCTTTTAGCTTGTTTCGAACGAGGATATATCCATTATAAATGTAGATAACTACAACAAATGCTTGTTTAAGTTTAGTTTTGGGTTTTTTATTTAATTAAATCATGTTTCGCATATCGTTTTCGTATATTTATGTACGATATATATATATATATATATTTATAAGGTATAAAGTTGATTTGTAATAAATTATAAGCAAGTCAGGGACTCCACTTGCACTGGAAACACGAAGAAGAGTCACAATATATATATATATACAACAGAGTTATTGAACGTACTACACTTTATAAATTAAACATAAATCGCATTAAGTACAGCATGCTGCAATTCCCTTTCAGTTTTATGTTTTAATTTCAAGTTTTTTAGGCGTTTAGATTAATTCGTTGATAAGCAGCTTTCGCTTTGTGTGGAGGAGAGGATCAGGAATCGGGTATCGGGCATCGGGCTTAGGATTGGTATCAAGTGTGGACACTACAATAATAATTTGGTCTGCTCTGCACCAGAATCGTTGGTTGATTGGTGTGTGTTGTTTTTTGGGGGGAAAGAGGACTCTCTGCTACCCTCTTCCGTTCGTCCTCTTAGATGACCGCCTCAATAACCGTCCCGTTCTCGGCATTCTTCTTGATCAGGCTTTCCCACTGGGCAATGAGGCCTCGCGAAGAGGGCGCCTCCTCAGGCGTCAGATCACAGAGCTGGGCCAGCGACATGGCCGGACGCATCCCATTAATGCTGCCATTGCTGGCTCCATTGGCTATGTAGGCGGCTGCATTCAGGCTGCGATTGCCAGCGGGCTTGTGTGCGATCTCCGGTTCGTTGCTGTTGATATAGAATGAAAATTCAATGAGAATCAAACTTCTTTGAGTAGGTTATCTAACACTTGCCCATTTCTATCCAACTCCTGGGTGGACTGGGCATTGCGCAGTTTTCCGGGCCCATAGCAGTGCTCTACCTCAGAGTCCTCATCGTCATCGTCGTCCGCATCGGCCTCGTCATCTGTGCTGAGTTGGCTGGAGAGGAAAAACGTAAGATGATAAGAGGACGATTCTAAAAAGCCTTGTCCTGTACTCACAGCTTGTCCAGCGAAGCCTTCAGTGTGTTCTGCCTGTTAATCTTGCGAAGGCGTTTCAGCTCCGTCTCGCGAGACTTGAGGTCCTGCAGCTCCCGCTGGATCTTCTGCTCGACGGGCACATAGCCTCGACGCAACGGCCTGCCCTCCGAGTCCCGCTCGATGGCTGCCGGTGATAGGGTGACCGTGGTAATGCCCGTTGGCGAGTTGCCGTTCTCCAGGAAGGCCAGCGCTGTGCGTGTGTTCAGCTTGAGGGTGTTGCTGTTGCTGCTGCTGTTGTTGTTGTTGTTCTGACTTCCATTCTGATTGGTTCCGGAGCTGGTGATGTTGCCTAATGGCGAGGTGGGCGGCATGGGACTGTTGGGAGTCACCAGCTTGCCATGGGAGGCTATAAACCGCTGCATTACACCTTTGGTAGAGGCACCACCGAAGGCAAACTGACGCTTTTGGGGCAGGCCGCTTAGCTGCGGAGTGGAAATGGTCCTGGTGATGAGCTTCTGCTGCGGCGGCTCCGGTGTCATGTTGTAGCAGTTGGGTCCAATGTAACGCTGCTCCTGGCGGGTGACCACGGTCAGCTTGAGCGGCTGCTGCTGCTTGGCTTGGAGGTTGTTGTTGCTCTGCGAGGAGGCCGAGATGCCCGAGTCATCCGAATGCTGGCCATCGAGGCTCTCCTCCTTGGCGCTGTTCACGCTAGAAGCCAGCGAGGGTGTGTTGGATAGCTCATCAATGGGCAGCAGAAGCGTAGTGGTCTGCACTGCCGCCGGCTGGGCTGTGACCAGCACGCCCTGGTCTTGGTCCAGCTCATCCTGATCCTGTGGCTGCTCCTGATTGAAGTCCGCCGCATTGCCATTGATCGTGTAGGCCTCAAATTCAACTACTCCTTCAGTGGCGGTTGCGGTGGAGGAGGCAGTGGTGGTTGTAGACGAGAGTGTGGCCAGCTGGCGGTATTCCTCCTCGCGACGCACCACCTCTTTGATCTCCTCCTGGATGCGTGTCAGGGGATCGATTTTCTGCAAAAACAAGGAGAAATAAAGGGAGTTTATTAATATATTTTGGAGTAGATTTTAAAGCCTTAAGATTATATGAGGTATAACCCGAGAGTTCAGAGTAGCCTGAGCTTAAGGGAGACCTGTGATCCATAATCAGGTTCAGAGTGCATTCACTGTAACCCAATACGTAGGATGTGATCGAAAAGCAGCTCCGGCTTCAAACTTCTAAGCTCTGCGTGCTTGAAATCGGATATGCCACAGCAAAAACCACCGAGGGCCATTCACTTTCGATACGCTTCGAATCGGATCGAATCAATTCGAATCGAATCGAATGTTGCAGATGCAGCAGCTGCGGATACACCCGCATCCGTGGTGAACTGCATCTTTGAGACGAAATCGGAGGAGACAAGATCCGGCGTTTGCATAATCCAATTGGCTTCGATCGTGGGTTCAAACCACACCACACACGTCGCGGGTTCGGGAGTTGCAAGTGGAAGTGATGAAGTGACGCGGAATGGGACAGAGGAGTGCTCCAAGCGTAACCTAAGCCGATTATTGTGCGTGACATCGAGACCACGAAGAGTTGGTACTGGTACTGGTACTGGGACTGAGGCAGAGGTTGGGGTTCCTCTATTCGGTTCGCTGGCTGCTGCTTTGTTTGGTCTGAATCGCGGCTTTGAAAATGCTAAACTAAGGCTAAACACACGTTCGAGAGTAAAAGTGCTCGCCGGCAGCAGCGGTTCAATCTCACTTTCGGTGCGATTTTATTTTAGTTTTTATACATTTTTTTCCACCACTCTTTTTATGTTTTTTTGCGTTCCGCGCACATTGTTGCATAAATTTGCCGCATTTGCCGGCTAATTAACAAGCTTTTGCTGTCACACTTTAGGCTTATTGTACTCTGTATACTTTTTGTTTTACGCTTTTAAAGGTGAACAAATGCCCCGAAATATACATAGATATTTGAAGGTAAATAGGAGTATTTTCATGGATGTTGCGGGGCAGTGCCTCTAGTTGGGTGTGACAAAAGAGAGTCCACTCCCAATTATAAACTAATTATTATGTTCATATTTGCATAGTTCATTTCAATGGGAAATAATTGAATGTTTCAGTATTAGTATTTGTTTATGATCCAATTCTTTGTAAAAAAAGGTACACAAATGTGGTGAAATATTGTCATTATAAACTGTAACGGAAATTGTATTTTATATATTTATATTTATACTTTCAGAAATGATATTTATAGGCGAGGCAAATGCTTTATAGATATTCTTTGTCGAGATTAAATAATAAGATATTCATATTCCTTGAATCAATATTTTTATAGGACCTTTTTTTTTTATTTTCGAAAAATCGAAGTTTAACAAACTCATAACTCAGCCAAAAATTCATTTATTTTAATTCGGAAAACTGTCCTCTGTTAGTTACTATTAGGTTAATAAATCTGCATACTCTGCTTTAAAATTTAAATTTTTGCCAATTTTAATGATGTAACCCCTTTCCTTTTATTGAAAACTTTTTTTTTTTAATTTAAAAAATATTTTTTCTGCCGGAGGTAGCTAGAAAGATTCTCCTAACAATGCTGGTCAAGAATATATATGATTTATAGGGTCGGGAATGACTTATTCACCAAGTTTCAAGCTTTTGACCCTGCAAGGGTATACAAATATTGAAGCAACATTTTTAGAACATCATTTGTTCTTTCCAACTCTCCAAAGTGGTGCCTAGGTGCTCTCTACAACATTATACAATTTCACAATATATTTTTTTCAACAAAAACATTATTTCTTTCCAACTTTCTTGGTGCTCCCTAAAACAACAACACAGCAACACTTTTACAACAACGTTTCAACAACAATATGTTGTTGGTGTTGCTGCTGTTGTTGAGTTGGGTCAAGTGGCAAGGATATGACAACTTAGGCTTCCCGAAGTTAGCTTCCTTTTGATATCCCAAGTAATATTCAGTAAGTTGTCATTTGCATTCTTTTTAGTGTACTTTTTCATAGCAATCAGCATCCCTTTTAACGTCTAAGTACTTCCCCTGCAGTCACAACACTCCAAGGGAGTCTCCTTCCCCTCATTTATTATATTCTCCATCATTTACTATATATTTCTCAGGCAAAAAAAAGACAGTGAAGACACAGGGGTTGCTTTAGGGAGCAGCTTTTTTCGGGTCAGCGAGCTTGCTTCTGGGGGCAAGCTGGGGTTCCCGGGGTCTGTGACTCTATCCCGTGGGTGCTCGGACTGTGCGATGTTGCAGGTGTTGCTGGCAATGTTGCTGCTGCAGCTTGGTGGCGAGCCGAGTGGCTTCCGCATCGTTGTCGCATTAGAAAGTGCCATTTCAGTCATTTCAGTCATTCAGCGCCAGCGCCAAAGGTGCTCTCCATGCACTGAGCGATTGCCGCTTTTCTGCTTTTCTGTTTTTCTTTTTTCATTTTTCATTTATTGTTTGGTTTGTCCACACAAAAATTCAGTGCCTGCAGTCGTCACCGTGGCCGTGGCCCATCGATTCGATGCAGATTTTCACTCAATTGTTTGAGCCATCTAGCCAGCCGGCTGCTAGCCACCCAAAACGACAACGAATCGAATCAAAAAATGTGCGTTTAACGACGTCGTTTTCACTTGCTTCAAAACAACACAGCACAAAAATAATCGGGGAGAAAACCGGCTGTCAAATTGTCCAGGGGGGGAAATCGAAGCGAGGTATACTCTAAACTTTGGTCAAAATAATTTCTAACATTTTGTTTGGCAAAAAAGATAATTAATTAAACCATATGGCAACAAAAGGCTCAAGTCAATGGGTTGCCTCACTCTCTTGCCAGCAAAGAGGTTATTTAATATTTTAAATGTGTTTAAGGAAGCCCAAAAAATTGTTATATTTTCTTACCAACATTTACCTTTATTTGTAAATGGGGTGTTATAGCTATAGTCAAAAGTTTATATACATTTTTAATTAAATCTTCGAAGAACAAACTATTTAAACTACTTATTTGTTTGTATAGCCATGCGGAGTATTCTTATTTTAGGCGGAACTTTTTAATAATAATAAATGAAATGAGTGTAAATAGCGCTCTCTCCCTCTACAGTATTCTATGTATCTCTAGAGAGAAGGAGCTTCTCTAGAGGAAAAGCGGGTCTCTATTTGCTTGCCTCCATAGATGCTTCTTTCCCTCTGGAGGCAAGCAGAGAAAGAGATAGAGGCCCCACTGGCCTCACCTTTCCCTTTCTCTGGAGAACTCTCAATCTCTGTCATTGCTTGCCTGCATTAATGCCTCATTGCCTCTGGAGGCAAGCAGAGAGAGAGATACAGAGGCCTCACTGGCCTCACCTTTCCCTTTCTCTGGAGAACTCTCTATCTCTCTCATTGCTTGCCTCCATAGATGCCTCTTTCGCTCAAGCTCTCGCTCACACTTTCTCTATTCTCTTCGCTCGAAAAGTATAAATAGCGGGCTCTGCCGCCTTGCGCACCTCAGTCGGTCCGTGGCGCCTCCAGTGTTAACATCTCGAGTGATAGTGATAGTGATTACCCATCGACTCCAAAAATATGACGTGGCCAATTCACATCTTCTGGATAAACAGGAAGTGCTTGTTTTGATGACACCATGACAAGCCTAATTGATACCACCAAGAATATAACTTTGGACTGGAAGGAATTAAACAATGACGTGTCCCATTTACTGCGGTAAGTCTCAACAATGACAATAATATTATTTATAAGGATGCTTTAGGAGGAAACAGGTCTACATCTAGAATCAATTGTGCATTTATTTTCTTAATTATTCCCCTAATTGCAAGGATCCCACTTCTTAATTTTAATTTAAAATGATACAGCAATTTTAATTAAAAATACAAACATTTATTAAAGTCAATACACAAACTTTTGCTATATTATTATACCCTTTCAGAATTTTAGTCAGAAGCTTGCAACATAGTGAAGGAATCATTTCCGACCCTATAAATCATATACATTCTTGATGAGCACAAAAAGCTGAACCGATCTAGCCATGTTCGGAAGTAAAAAAAAAATTTAAAAATTTTTTCAAAATTTTATAAGGGGTTACATCATTAAAATGATCAAAAATTGGCAAAAAAATTTAATTTTTTTATATTTTAAAAGTGAATATGCAGATTTGTTAACATTAAAAAAATTATCACTGATACGCTTTCCGAAATAAAATTAATGCATTTTTGGCTAAGTTATGATATTTGAAAACTTAGATTTACCCAAAAAATTAGCATATAAAAATATCTATTTAATATACCTAAAATACACATATTTTAGGTTTTCTTGGAAGTTTACGATCGGCCAGAAGGCCAATCATTTATATTTCTATTTGCAATCAAAATCATTTTTGCGATTGCAATCTGTAAGTGTATAAAGACTACGGCTTTCCAAAGTTTAACTTCCCTTCTTGTTGTATCTTTTTTATGCCACATTACTTTCCATTAAACGTAATGCGATCCTGAGGGTTCATCGTTTAATTAAAAAAAAGGCGACTTCCTGCAGTAGCAAAAAGGTATCATACCCTTGTTCTGGCATAAAAAACGAGGTAAATACCAAGGTTAAGGTAGGAGAAGTTTTGATACTCTTTAGGTAATAATAAGATGTTGGAGTTGAAGTCTAAATTATGTATGAAATTCAAATATTTTTTCATTTTATGCAAATGCACATTTTAAAGAGGCCTTAATTCATTTTTATTTATGTTTTGCGGTGTTGTTTATAATTTTACTTAGTCAAATTTCTTCATTATATTATTTAAATCATAATTTTTAGATAAAATTGAGATATATATTTATATCCCACCTCATATAATCTTTTGTTTAGCTTATTCTTTTCAGAGTTCATGTAAAAATCATCAAATAACTTATTACGTACATTCTTACAATCTCTCTCCCAATCCCCACCTTGTGTAATGAATTGCGTTACCAAATGGCTACCAAAATAATGAATACCCCTTCTTCTTCTGCTGGCGACAATGAAAACAATATACCAAAAACGCAACCACGAACCAAATAAAAAC